ACAGCAAATTTCAAGACAATCCAAGTAAATATGTGGATTTTAGAGCACTTAGACAAATCAGCTGCTAAATAATAAACTAGTCTCCATCTTAACTATGGTTGAGTTATAGAATTAGGGGCAGTTCACATCTTTCAGTACTATTGTTCCAGTCTGTAGCCAATCTATACTCAGCTAACATTCTGAAAGTTTTCTTAGCAACCAGAAGGACTAGATCTTAACATACTGGAGAACAAAATGGCAGTCTCAGTAAAAGCACCTGTTTGATGACCTTAATGAACCAGCTCAATCCAACGATTATATCAAGAAGTCAGTTAAGGGTCTCCCTTTGTATCTAGTTATTTTAAATTGTATGGAATGTTCAACTCATATGAGTCTGTAACATGATTGCATACTAAAGATCTTTATAAACGCTGTGCGGAAAAACTGATGTGGGTGCACACAAAAGGTCTAATTTTCCAACAGTTCAGTGTTTGTAACATCTCCAAGATCAGGTTCTAAATAGTTGGAAATAAATAAGCATTTGATAGAAGAGTGATTCTTCTCTATTAGGGATTGATGAACCACAAAGCTTGTAAAAATATGAAATGTGGGGAATAAGACACCCCAAAATAAGAACAAAATGTAACAAAATTTGAAGATAAATAGAATAATATAAAGAGAAGGAAGCATAGTTGGTTACATTCCGGCTGTTAATATTATGCAAGATTAGTGAATCCTTGGGGACTAGGCAATGTCAGGATAAAGGAAGTCTGGGTTCAGAATCATCTGATGTTATAAGGTTTTCATGATGATCACCGCCAACCGCAAATGGAATGGACACCATATTTGCCTAGGACAACAGATGGCTAATTAAGAAAATGAAACCTTTATTTTTCAAAAACTTGGTCAGGATCTTTCCTATTGCTGGTGATGGGGATGTGGTGTAGATAAACTTCCCTCCAGAGTGAATGGACAAGGCATCTATTGCAATCTTAATGAACACTGGTCATTCTGTGCTCACAGAAGTATGAAATAGATTTTTCTCTGGTGCTCCTCCATTAAAGATCCAGCTTACCCCTGACCCAGTAACCATCCATGGACAGAGGCAGGGGTCTGTGGATTAACTGTGCCTGTCTGTGATCAAGTTTTCATTTCTTGCCAGCCAAGTGATGATTAGGAGTGTATTGTTTGACATTGTCCAGTCCTCAGACTTTTAAGGTCTGAAGAGACCATCATGATCATCTAGTCTGACCTCCTGCATCCACATGGAGTCCCAACACATGATTTTATAGAATGATGATACTAATTCTCCCTTCTATTTAAGAAAAATTATGTAATAGAGTAGCCATTTAGTTGAAGTAAATATAACTTCCTGAACATCTTGTTGTATAACAGATATCACAAAAATACTAAGTAAACTCTTCAGAGCCGGGACTGTGGCTCATTTACTTCTGCAAAGTATCCAGCACACTTTTGGGCATGCAATAATAATAATGATAATGGACATATCTGGTTTTAAAGCAGAAACAAACTGTACAAATGGAAAAGCAGTCATTTTGTCTATTCAGCTACTGTCAAATGCTGATGTACTGACAATGGCCTCACATCAGACAAATATGCGAAACATTAGCAGCCTCTCTGTTTTTTTTCTTGAAAGAAAAGATATTTCACTGCTGTATTTTCTGATATTTTTTTTCTGAAATACAAAAATATGCAGTGGTACTACAGTTGCACATTTGTGCAGTGAAAAAAACCCCCATGAAATAAATGTCCTCAAACCTCCTTTCTGAACTCATCAGCTACTGCTCATAGAGACGATATATTTCCATGCTCTAACACAGGGGTCGGCAACCTTTCAGAAGTGGTGTGCCGAGTCTTCATTTATTCACTCTAATTTAAGGTTTTGCGTGCCAGTAATACATTTTAACATTTTTAGAAGGTCTCTCTATATAAGTCTATAATATATAACTCAACTTTTGTTGAATGTAAAGTAAATTAGGTTTTTTTAAATGTTTAAGAAGCTTCATTTAAAATTAAATTAAAATGCAGAGCTCCCCGGACCGGTGGCAAGGACCCAGGCACAGTGTGAGTGCCACTGAAAATCAGCTCGTGTGCCGCCTTTGGCATACGTGCCATAGGTTGCCTACCCCTGCTCTAACATAAGAAAAGAGTATGTGCATACTTCAGATCCAAGATTTAACAAATAGGAAAATACCTTTGATGTTGTGCATGAATTTTTCCACAAAATGGCAGATAATTTTTATGACCACAAAAATGCATTAGGCCTTGATCCTGAAATTGGACATTAACTGTGGGCTCTGTCAGCCTGTGCAGACTCTCATGGACTGATGGGGCTTTGCATGTGTACAGAGGTGCATCTGTGCAGAGCAGGTTTGAGAATCGGAACTTCATGAACATGCTTAAATATTTGTAATCTTCTGAATGATCATGTCATTACAACCACATTTTTCATAGGTACTATATGTAACAATCTAAATTTTTTACTTCACATCTAGTCTATTTTTAAAATAAAGGATAAAATTATAGCAGAAATAGAGTTTCTTGAAGCCATGCTCTTGAGAGCAAGAAAACAAAATACTGTATGTATGGCAGCAAGAACAAAAAACAAACAAAGACTATTTTAAAAAAATCTAACATGCACAGTATTTAAGAACTACTTTATACATGAAAATCTTGTCATTATTACAGCTTTATCATAGGTTGTGGTTGGCTTTGCAATAATTCAGTTTGTTTAAGAACTTCTAATATTAACTCTCATTGTTTAAAATTTATACAGTTTTAAATTTCAAAGTTTCCAGTCCATTCATTTAAAGGATGGGTAATTATTATTGGGTATTTTTAATTAAAACAAAACAAAACCCTAACAGATTAATACTTCAAATGGAAGTTTTTCCACAATATTTGCTTGAAAAAATTTCAGAACAGAAATTGGTATCATAAAACTCCTAAAATGTTTTGTTTTCTCCTCAAAGCTCAGTTACTAGCAATGATAAAAAAAATTGCTGAAAACTGTAAAAGCATATTGAGTATTGATCCACAGACACTCTTTCTTCATAAAGTCAAGAAATGTGAAAAGCTTCCATACTTATTTTGAGTCTGGGTTTGACAGTGTATTCTGTACTTATGTCTGGCTACATTGCTGTACCACCTTCGTAAGCTTAAAAATAATTAAAAATGTCTACATGAGTGTAAGTTATTTATTTTTATATTTATGTTTCCTTAAACAGCAAAGGTGCCCTGCCATCAATTACAAATTCAGTATATCTGGCTTTGGCAAACTAGCTCCCATTTGTAAAAGCTCCTTATAGTGGCTGTACTAGTCATGGGAACCGAAAAGTAAAAGAGGAGCCTGATATGCTGATTCCATACTGATTCTCAGAACACTATTTCAATTCATAGCTACTTCATACCAGTGCTTGTGTCTAAGTTTGCAAGAAACCAAAAGTTTAGGGAGTGCTCATGTGTGCACAAACCACTTTCCCACACCATCCTTTTTTAGTAATAAATAAAATATTGATTTTTTAAAAAAATCTGTTACTACATTTTTCCAACAAAATTTTCAAGACTACTTCCGCTTAATGCATCTGAACAACAGTCAGATTTACTTTTATAGACCATCATAGCTTTGAATCAGGTCATTCTCAAACAGAAACTGGCATTTTAAAACTGCTACAATGAGTTCAGTGGCAGCATCATCACGAGGAATCTAAGGTCCCTATTCTGCTAGTGCTTATACACGATTAACTTTACGTACACAAGTAGTCCCACAACAGTCAGTGGAACTAGTGCATGTATAAAGCATACGCATAAGAATCTGCAGAATTGGACCCTAAAATAGCAGGCATAGATGTGTTTGGAACTGTGTGTCCTAGATTTTGTTGGACCTAAAGTATTATTATAAACTAATGGTAATGGGCATGTGTAAAATTTTCACGAGTGCGCTATAAAATTTGTATAGTGTTATTGTAGCTGTGTCCGTCCCTGAATCTGAGAGAGACAAGGTGGGTGAGGTAATATCTTTTACTGAACCAACTTCTGTTGGTATGAGAGACACGCTGTTGAGCCACACAGAGCTTGAAAGTATCTTTCTCTCTCACCAGCAGAAGTTGGTCCAATAGAAGATATTACCTCACCTACCTTGTCTCTATAATAAAAAGTGATACATATTTTACGACATAAATACATCTCATTATGGAAAGGTGTGATTTGTGTTGTTCTGTTTTAAAAAACAGAATCTTTTAATGACTAGAAATATGTTCTGGTTTATAAATAAGAGCTCCTTAATTAATCATTTAGTGTCTTTTTCCCCCATTCACAAAGACAGAAGTTAAGGATGGAGTGTTAACTTTAACTTTTGATGTTCTTACTTGTCCCAGCCTAACATTCAGATGTATCTACTGCACATTATTAGCACAATAAAGATTTCACCATTGGGCAAATCTCAGAAGTGTGTGTTAAAATAATTTTAAGTCATTTGTTATTTAAATAATATACCCCCATAGAATAAACATGACATATACGTGATTTTTTCTCCATATGTAAATTTCCTTAAATATATATGTTAGAAAATTATGATTAGTTGTCTTAAATGATCATTGCCTTTAGCATTCTCTATTCCTCATATGAATGAGAACAGCATAAAGATATTTCCATAAAGGGAGACTTTTTCAGTATGTCAGCTTTGTCAGAAGGTGGAGCTCTGCACATATCTGTATAACTCTGCTTTATATATGCAATTCACAACTCTGTATAAAAAAGATAATACTATTTGGAAAACAAACCTTGGTTTTAACTCCAATATTCAATGTCTTTCATGAATATATCAGACCACATTTGGTAACAAGGGGCTCCTACTGTAGTTAGCATTTTAAGTAATTTTCAATTACACAAAACACTTTCAAAATGAAATTCAGAAATTTCTGATGCTCTCCACCCTTTTTCTTTTAAAAACTGGGATTGCACTTTAAAAAAAAAAAGATCATAAGGTAATTGATACTTACAGGCATCTCTAATATACAATAACATGGCTACAAAAATGTAGTCAACTAAATCCAGGGTGATGCTGTCAGCAAATAATGCATCCCAGACAACAAGAAGGTCCTGGAGTGGGAATTCTCGTCCAAATAGGAGCCTTACCCATCGCCTAGAAAAAAAACAACACATACATTCAGTAGAAATAATTACAAATATTATTAAGTCAACATATTTATCATAAGATCAGACATGATCTGAAACAATGTATGGAATTTTAAAAAGCATTAAGTTATTTGACAATCTTTTTATTAAGAATTTTATTTTGGGAAGTGCTGTTGTATATCCTAACACAGTTATAGGAGGAAATACTTTAAGGACTTCAAAAGTTTTAATTGACTTAAATGTTATTGTGCATGTGGGACACAGTGGAGAAATCTTATACCAGTCCGCATATCATCATCTTGTACATTTAAATTAATAATGATTTAAAAAGAGGGTGAGAAAATATCATTCAAGTAGGTCTGGAAGAGCTAAGCAGCAGGATGAAGCCAGTGGTTCATTTAAACCTCCAAAAAGTCCAGATAAATGAAGCAGGAATCACTATGGATTGGATTGCAGTTAACAGAAAGGGACCTCTTCCCTTTATGTAACTACACTGTTTGCAGATATGTAAAAAAATATGTTATATACACCATTTTGATTATGTATGTATACTTCAATTTTAATAATTTTTAGAGACAATTCAACAAGTAGAATCACATTCCATGCTGTATATACACATGTTTTCATATTTACCAAAATGTGGAGATCTATCTAGATTACATGGAGTATTTGGTCAACACTGACAGTGCAGAGTGAGCATAGCAGTGTTAGCTAAGAACTCGTCACTCTGTGGTTTCAGGCAAGTCAGCCTCTGTATATCTCAGTTTTCACATCATAAAATAGGAATAATAATGCTAGCGACCTATCTCACAGGTCTGTAGCAAGGATTCACATTTTACAGCTGTTTGAAAAATATAAAATGTTACACAAATGGTACGTAATAGTAGTATTACATTTAAAGTGGTTACATAATGGGCTTATAAGGAAATAATTACATTCTTAACTGGTATATACACTTTATTTACCATAAAATCTTTTAGTCGATGGGAAGCGAAAAGGGAGATTTATTATAATTTTCCTCTAAGCAAATTAAGCCACTTTTTAAAGCTGGCAGCTTATGTAACAAAAATAGAACTAAAAGGCAGCTAGAATTCATAACTAGACTAAACTTACTTCCAAGAGTTGACATTTGACAACCGTTGTACCTTATCTCATTGGAGTTGTAAAGTAACAATTTTTGGGGGTCCCTTGTACCAGAATTTCATTTCTGCACAAATGTGAGCCAATCAATCAATCAATCAATTACAAATTTAGGAAAACAACTTAATTGCTGCATGAATCTGTGCCTAGTAAAAAAAGCTCATAAAAGGCTCATGTTATGAATCAGATTTCATTCACTTCTCAAAACTTTCATTCCAATTTTTTTCCCCTTTAGTGGAACTGTATGTATGAGTGCTAACCCACTGTACAATAATAAACCTTTGTTGAAGACAGAATTTGCAGAACTCTAAGCAGATTTTTTTCCCCATAAGGAACATTACAGTTTTACAACAAAAATATTTAAACTTTGCATATAAAATTATCTTACATCTGTGCTCTTCTGTCAATCTGTTAGTTGTTAATATAAAAATTAGTATAACTTTTTACTTTATAATGTTCAATGTTCTTCTCTTCACTAAAATCAAATGCGCGCTGCCTCCCCTATTTCTACCACTTTCTGTAAATCCTATCTTTAGGGCTGGGTGTTGCAACAAAACAGCCACTGTATCAACTCAAAGCAAGGCTAATCTAGCACATTTAATGTTCTGTATAAGGTGTTTTACTATATAGTGGCACATTACCCTACAGTGCCTAGTCTACAGGAAACTATTATCCTACGGTGACACAAACATTACCCAAACTCTGTATGAAGCCTATTACTTGCAGTAACAAACCCTCCCACCCTTAAACCCACAACTTTCATGTTGCTCAAGCTGTTAGGAGCGAAAGCTCAGCTACGCTTGAAGCATTTGAGCTGACTTTGCTCACAACCTACTGAAATCTAATTCGGGAGGTTTGATAAAACTCTAATACACTTCAAGGGAAAATATACACCATGGTGTAATGGGATTTGTTATTAGGCTTTTATTAGAAATCTCTTTTGCTTCTTTACTACTTCATTATGCAGTGTTAATCGTTTGTGGATGCAGGTTTATTCTGCTCAAGCAGAAATCATTCCTTTTATTCCGCTTTTATATTTTCTCCTGGGAAAGTTAAATCTCAGTCTCCAGAGATATCATGTTCCACAGTTATACAGTGCAGAAGAACAACTGGACTTTTTTAGCAACCATGATACTACCATTAATTATTTGAACCCCTTTGTCCCAATGGGAGCAAACAATTCACACCACTGTAAACCCATGTATAGTGACTATTGTCTCTTCTTCTGTAACATCTAGCTCATAGCATCCATAACTCAAGGATCCTATCATCTATGAACCATGTTGCCATATGGCATGATTTCCATGAGCCTTTACATTCATAAAAAGGGACACTTAGTTTAATGAATCAAGTTTTACATTGGAGCGTTTTCTTCAAAATTAACACGCTTCTATGGATCTTACAAATATTTACAGAGAATTTAAGTTGCACTTAATGACAGCATTGGACAAGATAACCGCTTTTCCTCTTTGCTGGTTGGCTGTGGTTTAATTATTAGTCTGTTTTGTTAATCTTGCTTTATATCTGTTACACCTGCAGATTGTAACTGTCACAACAGTGTACCTTTTATCACATGCAATAATACAATTCATATTTCACCAAACCTACTTAGCAATTAAGTTCTACAAAAACAAAAAGTCCAGAATTTTTAAAGCACCGATAAACCATCCAAGAGTACTACTATTTACCTCTTGAATAACTAACCCTAGCTTCTACTTATGATTCCTATATAATTAAACCACAACTCTCAAGAGATCAGTAATTACTCGCAAGAGATAATGATTCATTAATGGCCTTACAGAATAGAGAAACCAAAGGACATCAATCCTCTGGTATATCTATTAACTATGGGAATGACCCAGTCTTTACCAGGTTTAAATAAAGATCGTCACCATTTTGATTAAGATTAACTGGATAATTCTGTAAGTAGTTTAGAAACCAGATACTTTATTTTAGCTATTGATTTGGCATTTAGGTTTTATCTGTATATATGTCTTCCTTCTTCATTAAGAGCAACGAAATCTTTAAAAATTACTGACCTGAACTACATAAGCCTTAGGAGTTGGGATAGGAAAGTAGAGGTAACGGTGACAGAATGGGAGTAGTTGTGATGGAAAGCTAGTGCAGCACAAAGGAAGACACTGGAGCAAGACAGATGAACACGCATAGATGGGAAGCCATGTTTGTAGGAAGGATGTAGCCTAACTTCAAACATGGACCACAAACACTGAGACTAGGCATCTTGAAATTAGTTGGATGGGGCTAAATCAAAAGTCCAGAAATAGTCACTGAAAGTTTGAGAACACTGAATCCCCAAACTAAGAGCTAACGGTGATTTTCTTAAACCAAGACTCTGACTTTTGAGTGAAATGTTGGCCCCATCTCTACAGGCTATGTACAAGCTGACTGACTCCTTCTCAATGAGACAGAAATATAAAAGAGATCCCTTACATTAGCCTGCACTAGTAAGACCGGATGTATTTCAGAAAATTATGACTTCTTTGGAAGGGAGGTTTGAAGCAGTGATCATGCTGCTAAATAATCTCAGTGCGGGAATTAACAAGACTTAATATTGCTTTACACATGCAACAGAGCTAGTAAAGGTTTGCGTTTATATTAAAGATTAATGCCAATCTTTCAATGTATCACATGCTGTGCAGAGAGCAACACCTATGGTTACCATTGCCCAATACTTTTCAGTATAAGACCCTGTTTTCCAGTTGTAACTTTTCCAAATTTATTCTCAGACTGCAATTTTCCATATTGGGTGTCTGCCTCAGGCTGATTTTTCTTTTTTTCTAAGTTTTTGATAAAGTGGTTTAGCTGTTTGCAAGAACAAACTTAGGAAAAATGTTTTGCCCATGTTAACATTTGTTTGTTTGTTTGTTTGACCAGCTGTAGTGCCTCCATATGTCAGAGAAGAGACATGAAATTTGGCAATGGGTCACACTGATGTCAGGGATTTGCTGTTCACCATCTCCATGAATATGTGCTCTAATCTGGCAATTTATAAGGCTCAGAAAAAAAATCTTAGTTTACACATGCTCAGTAGAGACTTGTTAATTTCCCAGCTAAATTTCTCTAAAGATTCCATCGGGAATGAACATGGTCCATCCCCTCATAATTCCTACATGCCTGCTGGACTGCACATGCACCATCCCCACAGAGCAACTGCTCCTCACAATTGTCCAGGGCTGTTATGGTGTCAGGCATAGGAACTAAGACACCTGTGCTCTCAATGCTCCCCTTGCTGGTGTCCAGACAGTGATCAGGAGGAGGAAGTTACCTGACTCAAATGCAGAGGGGGAGAGGAACAAGTATGGGGCGCCTGGGGAATGAGGAGTAATGAGACGGAACCAGTAAGGAAGGGGAGACAAAAGCAATAGATGAGCCATAGATGTGGGAGATTAAGAGCAGTGGTGAGGTGGGGAAAAGGGCAGGAGCCAAAGAGAAGGATGGGTGGGAGGACAGCAGCAGAAGGGGCTGTAATTCCCCTACAGAATTTGCAGTAGAACTCAGGATTTCCTGAGTCTGAACATATCGTTGCTGACTAACAAACAGCAGTAAAACGCACTGGCAAAGTGTGCATGTCATTCCTCTGTAGTGGTAGGTCCGCATAGAAGATAAGAGCCTGCTGTTGCTATCAATCACTCTGTTAGCTCAAGGGGTAGAGAACTATGCTGTGGAGCTGAAGATCCCAAATCCACTGAGACTGATTGGGGGTGGGGGGTGTCAGCATGGTTCCATATGACGTAATCTGTATTTTCAATTTAACTTAAAAAAAAAAAACTTAGGAAATTACACTCCAAAAACTTACCTTAAAAGAATGTTAAGATTTGCAAAATCAAACCCTCAAAAATTAGGAAA